ATGATCTACTATTCCTACTACCTGTATGTCCCACTATATCTATCAATTAATATTCCTGCGTCTCAACATACGTCCTAATATCCGTACGCCCAAATATTCGCACATCCCAATATCCCAGTGTCCCAACACATTTCAACATCCTCGCATTCCAACACCCCCTATAATTGTCTGAGTGTCTGAACGTCTTAAAACTCCACTCTCAATTCTAGAACTTAATCCTAAATTCCTAAGTGCACAAAACCCCAAAGTCTGAAAGTTGAGAAAGGCATCACCGTAGAAAATGATCAGATATTGTGTAGCGCGATATGCAGGTTTCAATTGTTCGCTACGGATCACGTTCCCTATATAATATCGAAGTTAGCCCGGCTCCGGTAAATTCTGAACGCATTCTTGGCGCAAGTAAAAAGAAGAATCCAGTTCGGAAGTGGAACGAGAGAAAGAGCAGGATCGTTGAAGCTATCGGTATTCTAATTACTCGCAGCACGAAAATAGCTAGGAAGTTGGAACGCGTAATTACAGGCGGGGACGGCGCCTTATTAAGGTATCTCATTTTCTTCGGGGGCTACGGACTCTGGTCGATGGCTTCAGCAGCGTAGTTCTTCATCGAGTTTTATCCAATAAAGGTGCACCGATCTTCTCTGCTGGAAAATACGGCCAGATCCCCGGGGGTCACGGCCGAAGAACCACCACCGACGATGGTCAACATCGACGCCGGCTAATACCGCCGGCAAAAAGCAGCTTTTCAGGTTTAGTTAACTTCCTGCTACGCGGTACACGGAAACACGCCAACTTCCTTCGGTACTGGCTAAGGACACTTTGTAATTGAATTACGGAGGACGTGGATGAAGATCTCGTTAACAATGCGGACGAAACTCGTCACGCCTTCTAACTTGCGCGATGGTGATCGGATTCGATCTGTTTCGGCGTTAGATCCGACAAAAATTTAGTTTGCAATCTTCAAACTTTCTAATTTTTAAGCAGATTATGTTCTAAAATTTTCAAGTCGTATCCTGAAATTTCAACTTCATAAATTAAACTCCGAAACCTATGCAGTGTATCTCCGAGTCTGCAGATTTCCACGTAAAATTTGCAAACCTCCAGAGTCCCAAAAATACAAATACATGTGCATTTTCCAGCTGCCCCAATTCCCAAGTCTTCGGATTTGCAAATGATTAAATCTGCAGACGAACAGCTAAATTTCGAGTTTAGTTTCGAATCAACAATTTTGCTGCAACCGTTTTCGTTGCGGTAGTCAACGCGTTAACGCGTTCCAACGCGTAACCGACACCATGATTCGAACAAGGTTTCCCGTTTAATCCCAACGGGTACGTTTGCTAATCTCGCGAAATTAATCACCGTTAATGTAAGCCCGAAAACGCCCACAAACCCCGTCCCGACGTTATTTCCCTCGATCTGTGTGCATTCGGTGCACCGTGAAGCTTCTCGATAGGAGAAGCTTTGATTCCGTCCTACGAAGCAGAAGCTGGCGTGCTTGGCATCGCGTCGAAAGTAAATGACGAGTAAAGTTCTGTCGTTAAAGCGAGGAATTGCCGCGATGAAGTTGCTCGAAACTAAAAGTAGAATCCGGCTCGGTTGTGGAACGGGAGAAATCGAAATTGCCAAGTCTGCGACTGGTGCGTGTGTGTACCTTGTTTGTAACGAGAACGACGGGGATTTTCAAACTTTTCAAGTTTGAGGCTTTCGCGACGGCAAAGATGATTCTTTCATGGTTTCGTGATTCTTGTCCGTTGCTCGTTAGAACGATCGTTCAATTGCTCCTTTGTTATATCGACCGAGCAAATGTAAGCTCTTATTTTTCAATTATTCAAATACGTTCCGTCGGTTTAACCCGATGCGATTTTATTTTTCCGACTGCGATATTTTTATTTTCCCATCTATGAAGGCACGAAGAGAAATCGCTCGGAGTTGCGCGGAAGAGAATATCGGAGTGAAATATTCTTATGGGTAGCAAGACGTAAGTTTGGTGAATTGGCTGAGCCTCTAACATGCTTTTATCCGAAAGTTACGCACGCTAGCGATTAAAAGGAAAGTACTTTCGGGATCCCGGCACGGTTAGAAGGTCTTCAAAACGACGGGGCTTTCTTGGCACGTTCTCATGCCCGAGCTTTCATACGAACGTTACGACTATTGCAGTCTGGGGAGTTTCGAAGCGAGAATTAGCTGGGCACGATTAAGCTTACGCTCTTGGATCGAGATAATCGTTAGCGGCAAGTGATTTAGATACGAACAGCCACCGTGGAAAACTTTCTACGTATGCTGGAAAGGGATCTTAATCCTCTGACGATCGTGTATAGGGGATAATGGATGTATGCAGTATACCTTGTACATGAGATTATCCTAGTCAAAAGACTCTTTGATCTTACTTTACTTAACTCGTTCGTGGGATTTTCGTGGCCAGTGTCGGTAATTAAAATGTGTACTTTTCTTCGGGTAATACGGTTACCAACATTTTCTCGTGGAAATTTTCTGATTTTACGTTACTTTCAGTGATTATGGCTGGCTTTTTTTCTGGAGCATATCGAACTTGTTTTAGTTTTAATTAAACGGGGAATGGAGGGATTATGGGAAGCTAATAAGGATGTAACGATATAGGGGTGCGACGATATAGGGATATAAGGATATAGCATATAGAGATGTAGGAATATATGGAGCAGTATAGACACATATGGTCGTAAGGTTATACTGATATAATCATGTGAGGATATAAGGATATAGGAATATAGAAGTTTGCAGATCTAAAGATATGGCTATTTGGGAACATAGAAATATCTTGATATAAAACCTTCACTCTAGTCGTACAAGTAATACATTAATTCTTTGGTACGCGAAGAAAATGGGGAACATAGAAATATCTTGATATAAGACCTTCACTGTACTCGTACAAGTAACACATTAATTCTTTGGTACATAATAAATTTTCCTACCAGTGATTCACCTCTATGAAATATCCTATCTATTGTAACTCTTCCATCAACTCAAGTAACTCCACTTAAATACCACCTATTATAAAATAAACGAAACGCACGTTATCATTTAATTTTACAAAAGCACCTCAATCACTCAGTCAATTAGGGTTGGTATAAAATTTGTTCGTCGAGTTTTGCTCTAACTTCATTTGGAACTATACTCTGGCCCAGTTGCCAGAATCACTGTATATCTAAGATACTCACAAGTGATGTATAGATAGAGAATAGAGAAATTGCAAACACTTTGGCAAACTGAAACTACTCTTAAAACTACCTACCAAGTTATAATGGCCTCATTTGTGGAGCACGCGATTTTGCCAAGTCTATCCTTTTCCAAGACATCCAATATCTATCTTGTATCATATTAGCCGAATCAATTTTCCATTCTATTCTTCATCTTTCGTCCGATTTCCTCGAAATTGCGGTTATTATCTCATTTTCTTCGCGTGCAGCTCTGTGATACTCTTTTGAAGCCTCTATGTTTAATTAACGAAATACGGATTTATTCACGATTCGAAAGGGAAATGCCTTTTAAGGATTCTTTTTACAGTTTAAACTTTTCATATGAAATTTTGTAGAAAGAATTCATTAAAGTTTTATCTTTCGTTTTTCGTTGTCAATCAATGGTTGTCATTCATTTATTCCAATCACATCATGCTTCAATCAAATTACAACTTTTGTGAAGGAAATAAATTTCAATTTCCTACGCGAACTTTTACCAAGAATGATACACAATCCTCAAACTTCTCTCTGCGAACAACGCAATTAACAGAGGATTTAAGATTAACCGACGATGAGTTACGGACAAGAAAATGACATTCAAGTTGCGTGTGTAGGTGGTCCGACAGAAACAGGATTAAGTGGACGGAATTCGAGAGCTGGAATTCAAGGTAATTCTCGCTTAATCCTTGGACATGGTCCCGCGTTGAACCGTTCATTCCATTCGAGTGCAACCAGAGTATTTTCGTCGTGATATGGTCCGTCCAAAGATAATCCCATCCCCAATATTGCTTCCATCTTTAATGCACTCAAGATCGATCCTCTCGGAGGTATGTACGTCCAGTTTGGGTCGACAGAAATAAGATCTTCAACGTCCGTACATATGCATTTACGTTATTTCCAGAAACTTTTCCTCCACGACTGATTCGACATTTCTATCGATCTTCGATTGCCTCTTCCACGTAAATAATTTTCTATTTTCGATACAAATCTACTCAAATAAACTCCTGATATGCGATATATAATTTTGACATTTAAGGTGAACCAAGCAACAATTTATGGATAAATGCAGCACAAATAAAATATTTTTATCAAGCGTTTTCTTGCACACAAAACACATTGAAATCGAATAACAAATACTTCGAATAGATAACACAAAAATCGCATACAGCAACGAGATATGGAACATTTTGCAGAAAAATTTGATTGCGGTGCATCAACAAAAACTCTCGTCGTTTTTTTGATAGTAGAAAAAAGCATCGCGCAAAAAGAGACTATTCCCGTGGACACGGTTACTCAGATTTCTGCATGATTGGTTGCGCACGATGCAGTCGTATGACGTCCGTCTCTTATCTTCTGCACAACAAATGGTCATGACGCATAGTTGCAAACAAAACTAAAAGCACTGAACTGTCACGATTCGAGTTGCATCAATATTTTCACGTTTACTTTGCTTAAAAATAAAACCCGATCAGTAGATTAATATTGGATAAAGGTTAAGTCTTGGACAAGTTTAGGGAAGGGCTCTATAATCAAATTTATAAATTCATAAATTTGTACGGTTAGGAATTTAACTTCTATATACTCGATTAAATAGCTTCATCTGTAAAATTATAGTATTTATTTGTGCTCTAATACAGTAGTGTTGAATGCAATGTCAATTCAGGATTCGCAAACTAATAACGTTTCCGCTTGCCACGCATTGTCAAAGCGTTCTGACTTATACCTTCTCTTTCCAGGTGAGACTCAGAAACGTCTCCAGACGGATCTCCATACCCCGAAGCGGCCATAAACCGAGGAATCTATGCTAAGTGTCTCCCAAAGCCATAAAGAAGCACCCTAAAAGAGCGAACGAAATAGAAGAAGCTATTCTGGAGGAATAGGACGATTCTTTATCAGCGAAATTCGGAGCAAGTATGAAGAACGAGGAATCTCGGTACATCTCAAGAATCGCCTCCATCGACGAGCAGAAGAGGTGTCATCGTTGGCAGAGCTGAAGAACCTTTCATCGCCGCATTTCCGAGGAAACGAGCGAACTCGTGGTCGACTTAATCTCAGGTCGACCCATGCAAACCCTGAAACGACGCGAGAACGAGACGAGTAACCTGTTCAAAGGAGTCGTGGCGGATTTGGTGACCGTAACTGATCGAACGAGATAGTATCGAGTCCTTTCGCATTAACCACGATCGATTTTAATCGAGATTACGAGGAAGTTATCGCGAGGAAGAAGGGACTTCTTCGACAACTTCATTTGGACGCCGCTGCTCGTTTCTCTTTATCTGGGTCGATTCTCATTCCCGCGACGAACGTACCGCCATTTCGCATTCCCTCGCGTCGTGCACGTAAAAATATAACGATCTCGGGGCTGGCTTATGGCGGACGGAGGGTCAGCAGAGAACGGAGCTAGGCCACGCGATACCACAGCCGAGACTGGTATAATCTCATAAAACCTGCAGAAGAGTCCATCCACGTGAGCGGTAAAGCCGTCGACGACGTTCCAGCGCTTGGAATTGGTGCGCCGCTTCGTGCCGGCCACTTCCGAGCCGTACTCCGCGCGATAACCCAGCCGGTTGCTGAAAGAATTATCGTCCGTACGACTCCAACCAAGAAACTCCGCCGGGAGGCTTCCGATGATCTCCCCAAATCGATCCTTACGAGAACGAGTCAAATTAATATACCGATACAAGTTCGACTCCGCGTGCGCGATACGGGAAGCAACTCGTCGCTGAAGATTTGCTGAAAATCAGAGGAAATGAGATGAAAGTTCATGATCCTAGTTCCGCGGTTACCGAGCTAAGCGAACCTGTTGCTGGAAGAATTATTATCCAAAATTTGCTGCTAACCGGAGCTGCATTCGCGGTGTTTTATGTGATAGGTGAATTAAGTTCGCGGAAGAGGTCAGACGGCAATTTTTAACAGAATCCTCTACGGAGGTTTTTTATACCAAGCCATATTTATATATTTGTAGCAAGTATCGACGTTTTACGGTAACATGCAAGAATCTTGGTACAACGTAAGAGGGCCAGCTTCGTAATCTTCTGTCTTTGAAATAACACCTTTTAAGGGTATTGTTATGCACGCGTACGGGCGTGTCTGACGCGTGGTCTGAATACAAAGAAGCGAGAAATGGATCAGGTGCACGTGAAGTCGTTGAGGTCAGCCTCGAGGAGTAACCCGACGAAAATGGCTTGCGAAAAGGCGACCAGACGACTGAGGACGATCCTGGTGAAGGCGTCCCGCCTCGGCGTCTCGACGACGGAGGTTGCCAGGCTGCCGAGCGCCAAGAAGCTCATTCCGCAAAGGGATCACGGATGGAAGTTGGCGGTGTTCCTTTTGCTGATGTTCGGCGGCGGCGTGATCGTCGCACTGGCCTGCACCGCAAGGAAAGGCTGCTCGAAGCTCGAGGAGATCGTAAGTAGGGCTCTAAGTGAATTTGGTAATTGAAGGCGCCGGTCTGCCAGCCAGATTTTAGGAAAGGAAGTCCTCCGCCGTAGAAGCCTTTGAGATTCTTGCGAAATTAGATTTTCGGCTTTTGAGGCTTCGAACTGCCTTCTCTAATATTCCCTCCGTTTGCATAGAAAGATTCCAAATCTATGATTAGATGGAAAATCGCGAGCTTTTTCTTCCGACTTAGCTCGAGGAATTCTAATCTTCAAATTTTCGTGTTACGACATTTCTGACTATTTCGAACCTCTAAGTACTCTTAATTTTTATACTCTCAATTGTGCAAACTTTCAAAGATACTTTCCAAATTTTTTAACTGGACGTCCCTAAATTCCTAAATGTCCACATTAACAACGAAAGTCTTTAAACATCCAAATCTACAAATCTTTAAATCTAAATTTCAATGTAATAAATCATATTCTCGGTAATTCCATCTCCACAATGCAAAAGTAATAAAGAATATATGAAGAAACGAGAAGGTTCCTCTATTAGTAATGAAACATAATGTTTAATGAATAAATACCGAGCTAATGCTTGTCGAGCAAACAATGAAAATTATTTATGGCTCCTCATAAAATATGAATATAATTATAAGAGCAAACGGAGCGAACGGAAATGACGAAAAGGGTTCGTGTAAATATTTATCTCGTCTAACTAGGTTTGCGAGAACCGGAGCTGGGGTTTTTACTGTATCCCTCGAAACTGAATTCCCGTAATTAATTCCACTCAAATATTTACGAGCCACGTTTCTCCATATCTTATGCATGATCCCGTTGAATGTTTACGAACACTCTTAAAATTTTCCATGAATTATTTCTGCTCGCTTTCTGGTTCCAAGAGTGACAAGCGTGGACTGCGAAGTTACTTCTCTTATCTTTTTTACTGAAATGCGTTTTTATAATTATGCCTCAAGCGTACAGTATACACACAGTGGATGTATTCAATTTGAATAAAAATTTTCCTGATTAAATAAACTTTATTTGGAGAAAAATTATACTTCACGAAAAGCTTTTCGGTTCGAAAATTCAATTATTTTCTTTTGTCGGAGGAAACAGTATAATGTTAGCGTATCATTTATAAAAAGACAACGATAAATAAGAATCTTTTTTACATGCGAAACCAGCTTGCATGTAACCATTACATCCGATGTCTTTTTTATTTCTTCGTATAGTAGAATGTCTTCCAAACGAGTGTATGACGAACACGAGTGGTATAATTGAAGGTGTTTTTAAATCCCTTTGTTACGAGGCAACGTTATACATACTGATGAGGCGAATTAGACAACCGTCGTTACACGAATCCTCGTAAAAAAGAAAATCCTCCGAGCGAAGTATAAAAATGGAAAGAAATTCGAAAGTATAGAACTACTAAAAGATTTCAAACATTTTGTACTAATCCATTTGATTAAAAAAACTTTGATCGTACAGTAAAACAGTGATCGTAGAGTAACATCTTGCTCATCCTTAAAAAACTCGCTCCATGCTTCATGATTTGAAAGTCTATCCGTCGCACCGAGGGCCATTAAAAGAATTCTTCTTTGAATTTCAATAGTTTGAAACTCTCTAAAGTGGTAATAGTCGGCGAACCTCTTGCAGATCCTCAATAGCCACTTTCGTGCTACCCTCAAGACTCATAGCATCATCAATCAAATCAGCAAACTTTTTCCATATTTTTCGTACTACGATAAAATACCGCGTCAAATCGACTTCTACATAGAACCATAAAGTCCATACTATTTCTCAGGCTATCACGATGTCCTTAATGAAACGCAGAGTTATACGCTTCGTGCTTCAAAAGCACTTTCATAGATACTTTTTAGTCGCATCATGGAAGTTAGGTACTGGTTCAACCCTTTTAGTCAGCAATTTTTAGCGAGCTAGTTGCTGAAGGTTTAAAACATCCTGTCAATTTTTATTTTTATTGTATAGTTTAATAATTTTGTTGGTCAAGGATCATAAGTCATTTCTTTCAAATTTGTTGACAACTATTTTTCTAATACTAATGGTATTGGATATGTGGTATAGTGGTAGATAAGTCTGTGTAAGATGGTAGAATGCATGGCAATACAAGAATAGCTCGGCGGAAAAATGTGGTCCATAACTGTGCATGAAACTAGGCGGCCCCATCTGGTGGTAATCCCGCGACAACAAAGTC